CCCGATATCCAAAAGTCCATTCCCAGTCAAACTTCTCAAAACCTTCAAATCTCTAGCTTTTGCCAAATGACCCCAAAATGACCTATGGACCTCCGAATCCACTTCCGGACGCGCTCCTAAGACCGGAATCATCATACGGAGCTACTCTTAGAGAAAATTAGCTCTAACTTGGATTAAAAGATATGATGGGACATGGGTGGAGAATGCATGAGACATTGCTGATGAAGCCATCCATTTCTTTAAGCATCAGTTCACTGAAGATCCAACTACCAGCGACCTCACTGCTCTCAAATACCTCCCCTCAGTTGATAAATGATGCTGATAATATTGCACTTCGAGGCTTTTCCAACTTTGGATGAGGTCAAACAAGTCGTTTTCTCCATGAACTCTAGTAGTGCCCCTGGTCCTGATGGACTTTCAGGTAAGTTTTTTCATCATTGCTGGCAAATTATTTCTCAAGATCTTTATAATGTGATTATGGATTTTGTTTTTCAGGGAATGAGCTTCCCGAGTGTTTTACTCACACGTGTCTTGTTTGAATTCCTAAAATTGATAGTCTTCAGCATTTTACTGATTTTAGGCCTATCAATTTAAGTAATTTTATTTCTAAGGTCATCTCTAAACTGCTTAATAATAGGCTTAGCCCTCTTATGAGCAAGATCATTTCTCCTAATTAAACTGGCTTCATGAAGAATAGATCCATTGCTGATAATGTAATCCTTACTGAGGAACTAGTGCATAATATTAAGAAGCCTAATACTAATGGTAATGTCATTTTCAAATTAGATATGACTAAAGTATTTTATAGGGTATCTTGGAATTATCTTTGTCATGTTATGAGGCATCTAGGTTTTTATGAGTTTTGGATTAACATGGTGTTCAGGCTTATATCTAATAAATGGTACTCTATCAATATTAATAGTATTAGACATGGTTTCTTTAAATCTTCTAGGGGTTTAAAACAAGGTGATCCATTATCACCATCTTTATTTATTATTGGTGCTGAACTTCTTTCTAGAATGTTAGATCACCTTCCCATGGACAACTTCATTCCTTTTTGTATTGATACTGGCAGTCCTATAATCACACATCTTAGCTATACAGATGATACTATCCTTTTCTCCTCTGTATAGCTAAGGAGAGGAGAAAAGGATATAGTACGATGCCTTTATATGAGGAAACTTGAATTTTACGAATTGATCTCTGGACAATCATCATACTATATTATAAGTGGGAACATCAAAAGTGAAACTTAAAATACTAAAATGCCCTTATAAAACTGCATGACATTATTACCCTTCAATTAAACACTACTATTATAATATTTTTGGACAAGAATGTAAAACCATTTTATAGTAAATAATTCATTTAATGGCCATGATAATCTTGCTAATAACGTGAATTTTGAAGGAAATACAGAGCCTATTGTATATTTCATCAATTATGTTGGTCCAATGAATCAACATCAGTTAAATATCGTTATTGTTGGTTCATTGAATTAGCAGCATATGAAGAGTCAGAATAGATTATTTTCCACACATAATTACCCAAGAAGCTACAATCACTCTATTTCAATTCCTTTGGAGAATTTAGAAATTGAGTATACATAATTTGCTTGCAAGTTCATATATAATTTTAGGATCAAGGAGTATGTGGCAAACAAGACGTTGCATTTATCTCAGGTGACTTTTCACTTTTTGGTTGGATTTTGTTTGTATGTTATGAGCTTGAACTTTCTCTGACTAAATTGGACAAGCATTGAGATAAATATCTTGATGCATATGATCATTCTAAAGTATTATTAATGTAATCATATATGTGGTTGTTCCTTTATTAACATGTGTTCTTATAAGATAACTCTTTTTAATTAGGGGAACCACCGAGTTCTAGAATAAGATTTTTGTGCGAAAATTTTGTTTTGTTCTTAGATAACTTATTTTGTTTTCTAATTTATCCCTCTAGAGTATTCACGTAGCCTTCCGAGAAGAACTTAGCTTTCTAGAGTTAGCTCAAGGAAGAAGAGAGCTAGATGTCGCCAAGAAGTCCTAATGGAGAAGAAGCCCAAGGGTGGCTTTACTCATGTCTGATTAAATAATTTTAGAGAACTTAATTACTTTCGAGTAGAAATTTAATTGTTTAGAGAAGTCTTGATCAATGTAGATGTCTATTTCAGCAACTACTCGCAGGTCTATATGATGATAATATTGTTTAGAGCTGAGGAATTCAAATGCTCGCTCATTTAAAGTTGATTCTATCTTTCCTTTGCCACTAGAAATATTGGTCTCAAAGTATTTATCTATGTTTGTGAGTGTAATTTGTTATCACATTAATGCCCAAGAGTTTCTTTCTAAAATACTCTTATATCCGTGAAGTAAATCATAATAAACATGTACACAAGAAATATGGAAGATGGAAACATGTCTGTCATATATTATATTTTAATTGAATATGATTCGTCAAAAGAGAGATTGTATGGGTTACAATAAGCATTTGATTCCTGTTGTAACTGTTTTATCAACAATATTCATCTTTTTCTGAATACTTTTCTGTTCATATTTAACTGCATTCTCATTAAATATCAAACGAAAATGTTAACTTTGATTCCTTTGTTTCATCTTTCCCTATAGACACTTTTCAGATATAGATGAATAATTTTCATTTATTCATCAACAAAAAAGTACACAGTAAAAGTGTCTCCTTGCAAAGTAATTGAATTTTCTACTTCAATAGCTAACAAACACGGTCATGTTAAACATTACTTTATCGCATTAACTTTTTAACTGTAAAAAAGTTTATTAAAGAAATTATTCCATGTTAAACATGTTTTCATCTTAAAGATATTTTTTCATCATCATAACACTTGCAAGCTTGCCTTTTCAAGTTATTTCCTCGAAGAAATGCAAATTTCACTAAAGGATTGAATTATTATTGCGAGCAAAGTGAATGCAAGTCAACACGTTGTGCTACTCAGCCTGGACTTCTAAAGTAAATAAAGATCCATGTAATGCAATTGCAGTAAGACATCCGAGAACTTATGTGGGATAGTTTCTTTCTTTATTTAATTAGCTAAATACGATCAACATTCATTATTTTCTAGAATAATTGGTACACTTTTTTGTTAGTTTTTATTCTATAACTTGTGCACACAATTTTTGAACTGATTTTTTTTACTCATGTGTCCAGAAACTATTTGGTTAATAAGAGGAAATCCTCTTTTCTGGTATCCACAATCTAGAACTACTTTTCAAATGCTTGTGGCATTCTTATTTCATCTACTGAAACTGTGAGGGCAAAGATCATAAGGTGGTGGTTAACCAAGCCCAAGAACAAGGTTCATTAGCTATTACTTCAGTGTCTTCCCTCTATCATTTCATGGGAAATTTGGAAGTATAGGTGTACATACAAATTTGAAGGAATTAGAAACTCTATTAGGAGGACAATGGATCAAATCACTTCTCTGATGCACCTGATCCTTTGCTCTCAGTTTCCTTCCACTCATTTTCCTTCTACTTTAATTGCCATATGCCACTTAGTGGATAATATCAAACCCAAGCTTGAATTTAAGCTTGTGAAATGGAACAAACCTATCGTTAATGAATTCAAATTGAATGTGGATGGTTGTAGCAAAGGAAACAGGGAAAATGCTGGAGGTGGAGGTATTCTCAGGAGCATTTTGGCCATATGATCATGGCATTTACTGCTTATCTTGGTCTTTGCATCAATAACTCAGCTGAGATTCAAGCTTTAAAAATTGGAATGAGATGGTTCCTTGATCATGGTTTCTCTAAGGTTGTTGTTGAATCTGACTCACTCCTCATTATTCAAATTGGTAAAAGGTGAGATCAAAAGTTCATGGCAAATCATAGATTACATTAGACAAGTGCAACAAATGAGTTTGCAAGGCCAATTCCAATAAACTCTACTGCATATCTCCTTGCCAACCTAGCTGAACATACCAAAAGAGACATGTTCTTCACTGAGGCTATAAGCCTACCACCTCAGAGTATATCCACATTGAAGCATGATTAAGTTGGGATACCCAGCATTAGATTCAGAGTTAAGAAGGGCAATTTTATATTTGACGCCGGCTGAATTTTCCTCATGTATTTACCAAGTTCTCTAATTTTTGTGAGCTCAAGTGTAAGGAGCAATCCTCCTCTTCTTTTCTCTTTTATGATCTAGTCAAATTTTACCTGTATTGAGGAGGTTTGCCTAGTCCCCCTCTTTGTACATGTTTGACATATCTATTTATCCGCTTAGAGGGAACCTTTGACCCAAAAAAAATCCCATTTTCCTTGATTCTTGAGTTAATTAATATCTCCTTTCCAGAAAGCACTACAACAACAGCAAGATGCTAAATCTCCATAAATAAGTTCAAACACAAGTCACTTGATTCTATAGAAACTAGACTTCAAGAGGAGCGACATACCAAAAAATCAGAGCCAAACTAATACTACCTCCATTCCAATTTATGTGAACCTGTTTGACTGAGCATGGAGTTTAAGAAAAAAAATGAAAACTTTTGAAATTTGTGGTCCTAAAGAAGTCAAAAAGGGGTCCAGAGTATTTGTATGGTTATAAAAGCTTCTCATTAAGGGTAGAATTGGAAATTTAAGCTAAATTGTTTTCAAATTCAAAAAGAGGTAATTTCTTTTGGAACGGATCAAAAAGGAAATAGGTTCACATAAACTGGAACGGAGTGAGTACCATCAAGTTGTACCAGGTCAAAATTTAACTCTATCCTCATCTGATGCTTATTATTCCACAATGAGATAAATTTGGTTGAACACTTCTTGCTGGCCGAAGGCATACAAAAACAAAACCAAACAAAAGAAAGAAATAAAAAGATAGATCACAAAGTAAAATGAGAAATTTATAACGAAACAGATCAAAATACAAAAAATTAAGACTCTAATCTGTTGCTGAATACTTTTTCACCAACAGAGATAATGTCTTCCATAAGAATTAGGACAAAGAATAGTTATACTCCTATTTCAAAACTAGCAATACATAAACGGCAAGAGGCCATCTACATTACCATAGACACCAATGATATCAATTTCTTCTGTAATCTCCTTAATTTCAATATCTCTCCAACTCTTCTTCTTCCAATCATAAAATAAAATCCATTTTGGTCCGCGTCCGAAGTTAACGATGAACACGATCTCACCATTAGGAGTATAACTACAGCAAAAGCAAGATACGTATTCTGCCTCCAAATACATTTGGGGAAAGGCAATAGTATTCTTCACCCATAATTCACTACTTTCAGAACTCTCTAAAATCCAAAAATCCATCTCTCCCATTTCCATTCTTGAATGATCAATGGCTGTCAATTTTTCCTCCAATTCTATCAAGTTATAATAATTTAATGTAGGAATATAATATTCGTCTTTCCACAAGGAGATAATCCTGAAATTTTCAGTTCTAACATTATATTCCGCTATGCATGCTTTACCCTTGTAACAACCGAAGAAATAGCTAATTCCATCAATGCAAACTCCTCCATTAATAAAAATCAGAGATAACGAAGCGGGTGCACTTTTAATCTCTCTCCATGATTCAGCTGAGCCTAGAGTGAAAACCCAGTATCGCGAGGGTGCACTGCGAACATGTGTAATCATCAAAATTTTGTACTTCTTTTTCTCTGGTTCGAAACCTAACGAACAATAATGAACCGTTCTTTTTTCAAGGAAATTTTGGGAAGGAAGAGATATTACTTTTCTTGTAATGGGATTATAAATAACAGGGGGCTGCACCCATGAACCCCACAAGCAGAACAAACCTTTAACATAACCAAATCTTGGATATCTAGTTTCATTTATCTCCGCAATACGAAGAAAAGAGGCCTGATCTATGGTGTACAAATTTTTTCCATACCCTGAACTTGTCAGGAATTTAGTTTTATGAGGACGAGATATAGAGTGCCTTTGATGGATGTCTACAAAAGATGGATCAAATACAAGAGAGTTACAAAATTTGAAAACGCACCTAAAACGCATTAAAGACTCAACAGGAAGCCAAGAAAATATATGATAGATAATTTCTTCAGGAAGGAAAGAAGCCATTGGGGAAAGTGTTTGTCGACTGAAGAAGTTCCTCTAGGGTTTAGCCATACGTGTTTTTCGGTGTTCGGCAAAACCTTTCTTTTCCTTCGGGTATTCTATTTCTTCACGGAAAAGGGTTAAAAATATCCCCAAGAAATTCAAAAATAGTCATGTTTATAATTGGTAATTGAAAAATAACCACAGTTTCAAAAGTAATCGAAATTTAGCCACTTTTCATGTAAAGATAAATCTGAACGAAAACACTGTTTGAAATCCGGAAAATATTCCAGCATAATATACTGGAGTTCTAGTATATTATACTGGAACTCCAGTATAATATACCGGTCCAGCATAATATGCTGGAAGTTCATACACAGGTGCTCCAATCTCTAGTATATTATGCTGGAACTTTTTGCGTGTTGGAGTTCCAGCATAATATGCTGGAAGTTCATACACAGGTGCTCCAATCTCTAGTATATTATGCTGGAACTTTTTGCGTGTTGGAGTTCCAGCATAATATGCTGGAAGTTCATACACAGGTGCACCAATCTCCAGTATATTATGCTGGATCGGTCCGTGTTGCAGCAAAATAATGGTTATTTTTCAATGAGTTTGCAAACAATGGCTATTTTTGAATTACCAGTTCGAAAACTTGCTAGCCCGTGCTATTTTTATTCTACTTTGGTATATTGTTCACATTTACCATCCGTTATACTATTAGGCCAAATCTACCCTTACCGTTAGCCAAACATTTTAAAAATACCCTCCACCTAACGGAAAGCCACCAAATTAAAAAAAGACTTATTTTTTATATCCATTAATAACCCGTTAAACCCCTTTTATTTATTGCACTTTTTTTCAAAGATTAGTCATCTCTTTCGTAGTCACTTGTTGAACTGAAGAAGTGAAAGATATAAAACTACCGACAAACATATATTCATTTATATATTTAATCACAATTCTTTTAATATCCTTATTGTAGTTCATTATATTCTACCTTTTCCAAAATTGTTTTTCTTCTTCTACCTTTTCTCTTTATTTTTTTTTCGTCCTGTCGAACTGTACCGAGTATTCACCATGATTTTCTTTCCACCATGACTTGAATATTTATAATATCTTATTAAGTTAACAATTCTGAAGTTTTAAGGCAGCTACCGAGGTATTTCTTCCTCCAATTGTGAGCCTTTGTTGATGAATATTTACGCACTATGATTTTCTTATTCTACTTTAAGCATTTGAGCTACGAGTAGTATCGCAAAATCACGCCTTAAGAACCAAAGTTAGAGTCCAAGTTATGGGGTGTGATGCTCATAATTCTTAGTAATAACTGAACTTATAATGAACAAAAATTATAAAATCATTATAGGAGATTCAATTTAATATCAAGCTACAGTCTAAGAAATTTATCAAAAATAAAATAAAGCACACCACTAAGTTGGAAAGTAACTCAACAAACATAAACACACTAACTTCATGTATTAACCAAATACAAGTATTATTAAAGTATATATCAGTTGTTACCAACATACAAACCAAATATCAAGTGTGCAGTACATTATACAATGGGATGCCATATTATAACCACACAAAAATACAACCGAAAGTGATAACATGACATCCTAATACCACCATGAACAACTAAGAACCAAAATATAAGTTTTTACTAATCCTACCGCCACCATCATTCTCACTCTCTCTAAATGAATAAAATGTGTTAAGACGTCTCAGAAATCTAGGCTCTGTATTTTTATATGATGGGTTTAACGGATTGTGGGTTAATGTATTTTTTTAAAATGATCTTTTTTTAATTTGATATTTTTCGTTAGGTGGAGGGTATTTTTAAAAGGTTTTCTAACGGTAAGGATATATATGGCCTAATAATATAACGAATGGTAGATGTGAACAATATGCCAAAGTAGAGGGGTATATTTGACCCTTTTTCCATTTACTTATTATACCTTACCAAAATTATAACGTTGAATTTTTTTTTAAAAGAGAAATTAATTTTAATTTTAATTTTTTCTGTTTTGTGAGGTAAAACTAATTAATTCTGTAACATATGCAAAAACCTTTGAAAACTTATTTTTCATATTTGAAAAGTGTGAAAGACGTAAAAATGCGTTATACCTATAGCAGAGTTGTGATAGGACATACTTAGAGGCTAGAGGCGTAAAAAGGATAGGGCACAATTAATGACTCAAAGAATAAAAATAAAAATAATACTATAAAGTTATTGTTTGAAAATCTAAAACTAAAAAACTAAACACACAAAAAATCATTATTATATAATACAAACAGAAGGTTAAAGACAAACTGACGTGTTAAAATTTTGAGTATTTAAGTATTAAAAAGACTTATTAAGCAATTTGGTTTCTAATTTTGGGGAAGTTTTCAGGGCTTACCCCCTAAATGAACGTTTGGAAAGTTGGGATTTTATACGCTTAAGCGGAATGCCCGGAAGGAAGAAAAAAAAAGGCAGCTCGGTGCATTAATCTCCCGCTATGCGCAAGGTCCGGGGAAGAGTCGGGCCACAAGAGTCTATTGTACGCAACCTTATCCTATATTTCTGCAAGATACTGTTTCCACGGCTTGAACCCGTGACTCCTGGTCACATGACAGTAACTTACCAGTTACGCCAACGCCCGAAAAATTAAGACTAATACCCTCAATACTTACGCCCCGCTAGTCCGCCTTGGTGCTTTTTTAACCCGCCTCACCCTGGAGCTCGCCCTGAGACTCACCGAGAAAATGCCTATGAAGACACATATCCCATCTTCCTAAACCAGCGTATATGCTAAGCCAAAAGATTGAGGGTGATATAATATCCTTAGCCACACGAATCACCATCTATGTGTAAGGCGTTAGAAAAGACTTCATGCTAAATCAACAACAGCCACATAGTGGCTGAGCCAGAATTTATAACAAAAGAATCGAGAAAATGCAAATTTGCATAGCGAATGATTAATAGACTTAACTATCATGGGAATTCAGTAATTCACGTATATACAAAAAAAATTATTCTTACCTATTTGTTCAATGTAAGTTTTCACGAAGAGGATTCAATAGAACCTCTTTCAACACACTTAGTCCTTCGACTCAATTAGTTCTGCCACTGGTCTTTTTTTTTTTCATTACTATTTTTTAAGCAAAGCCGCTAGTAAACCTTTTTTTTTTTGGGATTGCAATTAGACTTCTGATAAATGAAAAAAAGAAAAGAAAAAGGCTTAATACTCCTACTAAAGAAACAACTCATATATATGATACAGTTCCATCATTAAACGCCTATAAACAAGTAAATAAATCAACAACTCTTCCTACAATATATAATGTAACGACCCGACCGGTCGTTTTGAGTTCTAGCACGTCGTTTAGCAGTTTGAGGCTATGAGCAACTTCACTTCAGGTATTAGGACTGGTACACGTGGTCGGAATTGAAATTTCGGAAGTTCAGAGTTGATTTGAAAAGAAAATTCTCATTTCGGAAGCTTTAAGTTGGAAGAATTGACTAAGGTTCGATTTTTGAGTAAACGATCTCGGAATCGGGATTTGAAGGTTCCGACAGGTTCGTATGATGAATTCGGACTTGGGCGTATGTCCGGATCGGGTTTTGGATGATCCGGAAGCCTTTCGGCGCCTATTGTGGAACTTGGCATTTTGGAAGAATTTCATAAATTTGGGTTGAAGTGCATTTCAATGTTATCAATGTCTGTTTGGAATTCCGAGTCAGGGAATAGCTCTGTATGGTGATTCTGGTATTGGAGCGCGTCTGGAAGTGGATTCAGAGGTCTGTAGGTCATTTTGGAGTCATTTGGCTAAAGCTAGAAATTTGAAGTTTTTTGAAAAGTTTGACAGGAAGTGGACTTTTTGATATCGGGGTCGGAATCTTATTCTGAAAGATGGAGTAGATCTGTAATATCATTTAAGAGTTGCACGCAAAATTTTGTGTCAATCCGAGTAGTCTAAGTATGATTCGACGCGTTCTAAGCGATTTAGAAACTTGAAGTTCAAAGTTTGATTCAATTTGGTTTTGGGGTGTGATTCTTGATTTTATTATTGTTTTACCCATTTCAAGAGTTCGAACAAGTCCGTATTATGTTTATAGACTTGTTGGAGTAGTTGAAACACACCAAATTTCTACTTCTGGTTTACTTCTTCGCGAACGCGGTCACACCCTCGCGTTCGCGATGAAGGTTTTGGGGTACTGTGGGCTGGGGATCTTTTGCCCTTCGCGTTCGCGTGCGCAGGACCGCGTTCGCGGAGGTCTGGGCCCTCTAGCCTTCGTATTCGCGTGACCTGGCCCGTGTTCGCATAGAAGAGGCTGAGCTGAGTGGCTGATGTTCGTTCTTCGTGTTCACGAAGAAGCCCTCGTGTTCGCGAAGAAGCCCTTGCATTCGCGTAGAGTAGGCTAAGCGAACCTCCGCGTTCACGTTGCTCCTGTCACGTTCGCGATGGGTAAATTTCCTGGGCCTAGGACGTTTGCCTTCGCGATCGCGAGGCGTCTTCCGCGATCGCGAAGAAGGCAGACCTGGGCAGAAACTTTTTAAAAACGGGACTTAGGCTATTTTAGCTCGTTTCTTCCATTGCTGAGCGATTCTTGGAGCTCTTAGAGAGGGGATTTCACTTAGCACTTTGAGATAAGTAATTTCTACACAATGTGAGTTAAATACATAGTTTATGGGTAGATTATAACATGTATATTATTGAAAATCATGGGTTTAGGTGAAAACCTAGGTTTTTGATAAAAATGAGATTTAACCATGGGATTTGTTATGGAATTTAGTAGAAATCATATATTTTTGTTCCTACGGTTATGAGTAACAATTTTCTTTAAAAATTTTCGGAATCTGAGCATGTGGGCCCGGGGGGTGAATTATAGGAATCTTGCAATTTAGGTTGGGTAATCACTTAAATGGTGGAATTATGAACTTTTGAGCATAGATTGATTAGTTTATGTAATGTTTGACTAGCTTCGTAATTTGGAGGTTAGAGCGCGTTCTTGAATTGGGAAGTACGCTTTGAGG